GTGACTTCTCATGAAATGTTTGACTTGGAGTTTTCAAAGCTCCATTTTTCTTCAATTATTTGCCAATTAAAATTTCTTCCAAGTCGGATCTAAACTAGTAATTTAGTACTGACTTGTTATCAATAATTAGCTTAACTAAAAGTTGACATAGTTAGTTTATAGTCGTATCATTTATATTTTATAATGGATAAAATGTTCAAGTTTCGATGAGAAAGAAAGATAATCGGGGCTCACAAGCAGGTTTGTTGATTGGACTAGTCGAGTCGGCTTGAGAGCCAATGTTATTTTTCTCTCTTTTTTAACGCTTAATTGAAAACTTATTACTTCTTTTTTTTCACCTCCCAAGTGAGCTGTGAACTGAATGCTAGTTGGGCCCACCCCCACACTCCTTTAATTTGACACCCTTAGTCGATGAAATATGATCTAGTGGACAAACCTCTCCCACATTCGTGAGATGACAAGCCAAGCATCATAAAGCCTATGCTCAGGGATCGTGGAACGAATTTTAAAGATAAAGTTGATTGACAATACCCCACAATTCACATAGTCAATCTAGTAATTAACAAGCTCTTATCAAATATAGTAATCAGCTTAGGTGGCAGAGAAACCCCTAATTCATTGCTCAATGGAATCGTAATGTAATTTAATTCATGGGATAATAAATTAAGAGGTCTGCTACGACTAAGACGAATGCTGATTATACCAAATAAGAAAGCTTCCATCATAAAATGAAAGACCCAAATATAGGTACAGAAGAAGTAAAGATTCATGTAGACTTAATTCATTAAAAATAAATAAATAAATACCCTGATTAGAGTGTTGGAGAATTACTAATCAAAGAACTTGCATGCTTTAGCATGGTTAAAAAAATTCACTTCCGAGTTACAACTATTAACAAAATAATAATCAATTCGATGTAGTTACTCAAATATGTGACACAAAAGCATCAGCTTTCTCAATGCTTTCAATTGCAAAAATGTACTGAAATTGACAAAGATGCACAACCTTATAGCCTAAAAAATAATAAATAATTCACCAAGGTCATAAT